GTCTCTGTCTCTCTCTCTCTCTCTCCCTGTTTCTGTCTCTCTCTCTCTCTCTCTCTCTCTCTCTCTCTCTCTGTCTCTCTCTCTCTATCTCTGTCTCTCTGTCTGTCTGTCTCTCTGTCTCTCTGTCTCTCTCTCTCTGTCTCTCTGTCTGTCTCTCTGTCTCTCTCTCTCTGTCTCTCTCTCTCTCTTTCTCTGTCTGTCTCTCTGTCTTTCTGTCTCTGTCTTTCTGTCTCTCTGTCTCTGTCTGTCTGTCTCTCTCTGTCTCTCTCTCTCTGTCTCTGTCTCTGTCTCCGATAGCGATCGCAGCATTGCGAATCGCGCTCTCAGATCGCTTGTCTTCACAAAATTTGATTGGTTCTTGACTCTGAAGGGGGTGTGCATTACGGACATGTAAACTAAACAAATCTTACGATGCTAATGATATTGAAAAACAAACWCACATCAAGATACAGTTTTATGAGGAAAAACTTACCATAAACGTCACCCTGGTGCCTATAAATCCCCACAAAGCTTTTTAGTAATCCCTTGGTGAAAGTTTTAGCTAACCTCAGTGTATAGCATACTCTCCTCTCATTGGTCAGTCAGTGAAACCCTCGCTGATTGGTTGTACGCTAAGCRACAGCGACAAAAGTTGAACATTTTTCAACTTTCATATGTCGCGTTGCATGCTCGCGTGTGCACGTCTACGTGTACGAGCGCGAAATTTCCCATGCACTTTTTTCACCGGTCGCTTAGCTGGAGGAGGGCAAGCGATTGTCGCCTCACCGCACACGCTCCATAAGACATGAATGGAGAGCGAGCGACGTCGCCTCCCGTGTGTCGAGCCCTTTACTTGCTGAAGTTCAGCGCATTTTGCTTTGTRTGAGGTTTCTAGAAGCCTCACCTGGTGTTGTGAGTGTTCTAAATCTCGTCTCTCAGACAGCAGAGTCTCTTGTATTTTGGCGGCAGCTCGTTCATATTGGGCACGCATCTGGTACTGCTGAACAAGGAGGCCTGTTCTTTCTTCATTCCATTCTTTCTTTTGTTCTTCGATGTATTTCTTTAAACGGTCCAGAGATTTCTCTACCTGTTCAGTCTYTTGTTTTTTAGCCATCAAAGATTGTTCCAGTTGCATAGTACGGTCGGTGGCCTTTTTAAAAGCAGTTCTTTGTGCTTTCATTTCAGCGAGATTCTTCTCGTTTTTGTGCTCAAGATGTTTGATCTGATTTTTAAGTTGAACTGATTTTGCTCTTTCAGAATTCAGTTCTTGTTTTTCAGCC